ATCTAGTCGTTCTAGTCGTCAACAAAATCCACCTCCAAATCCTCCTTCTATTCCAATTTCTAATCCCAATCCCACTGATCCTAACTTGACTATTCAAAATTCGTGTTTTAATCATCCTGGGTCTAGAAATCACCGATTTTGGTATTATCAATATTTTGATTCTTACAAAATCCGGGAAGAACGTATTCCTTCTCGTCAAGCTATGTTAGCTATTGATTTTAAATATCTTCCCATTTTACAAGAATGGAAATTTGATAAACTATTTGATCTTGAACCCATCGTTTACCATCAACTTATTCGTATATTCTACTCTAATGCCGTATGTGTTAAAAACCAAGCTGAAACCGAAACCATAGGAATTCGTTCCTACCTCCTAGGACAATTCTTATATATTGACCCAGCATATATAGCCAATACATTTGGATTAGATAATGATGGTATCTCGAATGAAAAACAAATTTTAGGTTCTCGTTATAAAAGAAGAGATAGTGCGAGTGTCTTAGACCTACATGAGCGTTTTCTTCATCTAATGATTTCTTGGTGGTTTCGACCATCCGGAGGTCGTTATTCTACTCTTAGAGCTTTGGATCTTTGGTGGTTACATTGTTTCGAAAACCGTATTAAAATTAACCTACCTCAGATTATTTTTGCTGAAATTGTTGAAACCGTAAATCTTGTTCCTAACAAGAAACACTGTTCATCTCTAGTTTACGGTTGCTTTTTGAGTAATCTGTTTTCCAAAGCTGGGCTTAGAGTCGGTCTAGATGCCGTTTTTCCTCTTAAGAAACAAATAAATCTTCTTTCCTTAACGAGAGCGGGATGGGTAAAGGACAAAGAAACCGGTGAATGGGTTCGTTCTTCTACTCCGGGAGCTAGTTCTTCACAAGCTCCACCCGAGGCTGACGAAGATCCCGAGTTTGAACAATTAATGAGGGATATTGATGAAGCTGAAGAAGAACCTGAACAACCCGAAGAGCAGCCCGAGGAGCAAGCACAACAAACGCATCAAATGCCTCCATATTTTCAATCCTTTATGGAGACATTCGATTTCCGATACGCTACCATGGACTCGCGCTTTTCCTCTATAGAGTCTCATTTATCCACAATGGGAGCTCAACAATTAGAGATTCTTCGGGAGATGCGTGCAAACAATGAATCAACCAACGCTCGTATCAATGAACTCACACACGAGATGGCCGCTATGCGAGCCCGTTTTCCTCCTACCGATCCGGATGCTTAATTTTATGTTTATCATTAAAACTTTGAACAAAATGAATATTGTTTCAACATTTTGAATTGTTTGATTTTGTGGATTGTTGGATTTTGGGTTTATGAATGGTGTGAACTTATATGTTTGGTGTTTTATTCATTTTTGCATCATTTACATTATCATTAGTAATATGACCAATTTTGCCATATCACATTATTTATGAATATTGATTTATGAAACTAATGGCTAACCTCTCTTTTGATTGTTATCTTAGCAGCTTAAGCTTATAATTAATAAATCAATTGGCTAAATGATTTTCATAACCTTGTTTTACAATGTCTTTTTGATTTAACAAAAAGGGGGAGAAGAATAAGTGTTAAATGTTTTACATGATAAATTGAAGAAGTGTTAAAGTAAGGGGGAGTAATTTCAAAACTTGATTTCAAAAATCTTAAAATTACTAAAATGTTTTGTTATATCAAAAAGGGGGAGATTGTTGAAACATTTTAATATTCGATATAACAAATTAAGTTAAATGGATTTTAAGATTTTCCAAATGATTTTCTAAGTATATTCGATATAACTATTCGAATAATCAAAACATTACTCCAAATATTTCAAAAATCATTTTTGATCCTTACTTAAGTGTAAAATTAAGTTTTAATCATAAAACAATTTCAAAATAATTTTACAAAGTATTTCGAACCAATTCAAAGCCAAAAATTCCAGATTGCTCAGAGGGAACCGATTCCCCCCATAGGAGGAATCGATTTCCCCCTGAATGGTTTGGCTCCGAGATTTCCAGAATGCTCGGAGGGAACCGATTCCCCCCAAGGGGGTACCGATTCCCCCCTGATTCAACGGTCGAAATATTTGAATTTTACACTTAGGGAACCGATTCCCTATGAGAGGGAACCGATTCCCCCCACTGTCCAAGCTGTTTTATTAAATGTTTTCACACTAAAACGGCTATAATATCTTCTCTAATTATCCCCAACGTTCAGAAGTGATCCAAGGTGTATTTAAGCAAGCTTAGAAGCCATTGATCAAAAACAAGAAACATCAAGCAACTAGAATCAAGAGAGAATCAAAGAGAAAGCATCAAACCTCAAGTTTGAGCATTTCAAAGCCCATTTTCATTCAATATTCATTTTGCTTTCAAGAACACTTTTTGTGCTTAATTGTATTCATCTTTGAGGGTTCTTTTCTTTGTTCTAGAATTGTGCAAACATCTTACCTTGTGAGGTTTTCTTGTAAGTTTGCAAATTTGTAATCTTCTCTTTGAGAAAAGAGTGTTCTCAAGAGTTGGGGTATACTCTTGAGGGAATTGTAAGGTTATCTCTTTGGCCTCAAAAGAAAGAACAAATTAGTGAATTTGTTGGAAAATCCTTAGTGTGGATAGCTAAGGTAGTGGACGTAGACTTTGTTTGAGAAAGTCGAACCACTGTAAATCGCTGTGCAATTATTTTCAATTTTCTGCAAAAGCTTCCACAAAATTTTTTATTGCCAATTCACCCCCCTCTTGGCCAATTTCGTCATTCGATTAACTCAACAGACTCGACGATGCTTCAAATTTTCAGAGTGTCGAGACATTTCAAAATCTCAAGACCTCGCGTTCCTTATAACGCAATGTCTTTTTTTTTGGAATATTAAATTTTTTTCTCTGAAAAGTGTTTCAACATGTGAATGATCTGGCGCCTTGTATAACGCGAGGCTTTGACACACGCTTTGTAAGACACAAGATAGCCGTACATGTGCAGGTCGATGATATTTTTCCAATTAATATTGTTTGAAATTATTTTTTAATAAAATAATAAATGAGGTTTTTTATTTAATGACGCTAATTTTAATTGTATCTATTATGTATAAAAACAAATTTATTATTAATATATACACTCATCCCCAAAAAAATTAGATCCGCACATTAGATATTATGTTAACACCATTAGAAATTTAAAGTTTTAAAAATGATCGAATTTTATTTGAAAGCTTGAAGGTCGAGTATGTCTCTTATCAGGAAGTTAAAAGTTAAATTTAGCTAAAATGAGAGGACTAGGATTATCAATATGCCCCTTTTTTCAATATTAGTTTAGTCCGGAAAAGGTGCCAAGCTGTATCAAGACACAGAAGGCATAAACAAGAAAAAACAACTTTAAGGTTATCGGTTTGTAGTAAAAGTAGGTTAAGGAAATTCCTTTGAGCCGCGAACCCTGTCGGCTGACGTGGCGTTTCAACTGCGAGTGAAAAGCACGTGCTCTTGCCTGTTTGTCCACGTTGCTTTTGTATTTTAAGTTATTAAAATCAATATTCATATTCTTCCTTAAAATTATTCATTTTATTTGATTATATAGTTCAATTTTATAAAAAAAATCATTTTGATCTATTTATTTTTAGTTGTTTTAATTTGATCTTTAAAATATAAAAAATGAAATGAAATCGATGATAATTATTAATAATTTTATTAAAATCGATTCCAGCAGTCGATGACTTCATTTGCATTGTAGAAATATTGATATTTCTCTAATTAATCAACTGTCATCTTAATTCTTAATTGTTTTCCATATTCATTTTGTACTTATATTGAGTATCATAATTACCATTAAGAATACTTAGATTTATAAATTATATTGAATATAAATTAGTTGATTTGTACATTTGTCATTGATTAGGCCTTCCTTGTTAATTAATCCCATTTTTCCCTACACTAATCATCATGTATTTTTTAAGGCCACAAAGCATGTTCAAAAATTACTATTTCAACTTGGGAGCTTTCTTGAAAAGATAGATTTTTATTGTATTAATGAAATTAAAGGAAAATATTAGATAAATGTATGAATTAAGTGATCTTAGTAGTTAGGGTATTTGTTATTTTTTTAGAGGTCTCGAATTCAAGCATCGACAGAGATATGAACGCTCATTGTCAATTGATTAAGAGTCTTTAATAATACTTTATATTCATCCCATATTTATCAAAGAAAAAATGATTTTAAAATGATCTAATACTATAATATTATAGTTTTAAATTGAATACATCTTTGACAAATATTAAATATTTTAAATGAAATATATATTGTACGAATTTTGAGTCGACTTCTAGGAAAATATATAATATAATATGTCTTATAATTACATTTAACACGTATTAATGATTAATGAATATTTTTATAGTAAATACAATATAAAAAATAAATTTAATATATTTTGAATTAGAAATGAGTACAAGATCCAGATCCGACGAATTTCGACTCGATCATGTGATTTCATATGATCATTTTAAAAGAAAAATCGAATTTTAGTATAATTGGGTTGAAATTTTAAGAGGATTAGGTTAAGTTAATTTGTATTTAAAGTGAAAATATATTTGACTCAGTTTGAGATAATATTATGATTTTTCTTTATATATTCAAAGATAATTATAATAATATTTATCACTCCCTATTTTTTATTTAGATTCATATTTTTTCTAATAAAAATAAAATATTTTTATATTTGATATGATTAAATATAAATTAAAACTTTACCTACACAATGCAATAAAATCTTACCTACACAATTCCAGCTTTTTATCTTCTTATTTTATCATAAGTTTTCATAATTATAAATCGTAAAGAAAAACACCTAACGCTTAGAATAAAGAATACAGATTATGATTATGTTGGAGTAGTGAGAGTGGTGGGGAACATGCGGGTCCCATCATCATCACTCCCTCCACCACCAACTCTCCCTCTCTTTTATGCGTCCACCTCTCCCAAACTCTTACTTGTACTTTTTCTTTGCTCTACTTTTGGTAATGGAAGGTAGCTTAGTTTTACTCGACGGCGGCGGTAACGGTGGTGGCTGTTCTGGGTTTTCCACTAATGAGTCAGCCGTGTCGAAAGCTGAGGTTGTTCTGGAGGTGACTTCATATCCGGCCGAGACCGAGCTCGAGCTAGGGCTCAGCCTTGGTGGTCTTACAGGGAGGACTAATGCTACCCCTGGTAGAATATGGACTGCCAAGGACTTCCCTTCAGTGGTTGTTCCGCATCGATCTTCCATCAACGGCGGCCCTACTCCTTCGGTTTCCGTTTCTGGGACTAAAAGAGTCGCCGACGACTGTGGCTCTCCGACTGCTATCAGGTATAAATGGGATCGTTTCTTTCCCGACGTTTTGTTAGTGCCGCTAGTTTATTGGGACATCTGAAAACGCCACCAATAGCGTAAAACACCGTCACTGTTGGCTCTAAAAGTTTTGGTCTAATAACCTTAGTTTAGGCCTTATCTCCTCAAATTTCGAGTTTAAATACTTAATAAACCCTTAGGTTTTTGAAGTTCAATAATTTAACCTCTTTTGATGTTCCATGTTGTTTTGAAGCAGTCAAGTTGTGGGATGGCCACCCATACGGTCTTATAGGATGAACAGCTTGGTTAACCAAGCTAAAGCACCGAGAGCTGAAGAAAACAAAGCGATTAATGAAGTAAATAACCCAAAAGAAGATGGTTCCAAACTGAAACAAAGTGATGAAAAATTAGTGCATATTGGGTACATTAAGGTCAACATGGATGGTATTCGTATAGGAAGAAAAGTTGATTTGAATGCACATTCTTCTTATGAGAGTTTGGCTCGAGCACTCGAAGCCATGTTCCTCCAATCCACTAACTCCGGAGGTAGTGTCGAAACCTAGGCTCGGTTTATTCAGTACGTTTAAGGTTTGATTTATCGAACATTACCCTTTTGTAGGTACTGAGAAGGAACAACTAACAATAGCCTCTAAGCTTTTGGATGGATCATCTGAATTTGTTTTGACTTATGAAGACAAAGAGGGAGATTGGATGCTTGTAGGAGATGTACCATGGGTGTATGCTTCTATGTTTTGCTATGTTTTTAATCCGAAATCGACCGAATCCGGGAAAAAAAATCAAAAGTATAATTTGATCTTTCCATGTTTTTAATCTGTTTTTCATATTTCAGGATGTTTCTCACCTCGGTCCGGAGGCTCCGAATCATGAAGACTTCCGAGGCCAATTGCCTAGGTAAAATTTTACTCTTCCCTTTATGTTCCTTTTTTTTCCGGTTTTTCGACTTCTGATTCCCGTCATTCATATGTTTCAGCTCCGAGATTTCACGACAAGACCGAGCGGCAAAGAAGCAATCCGATATAGCGTCATTGGCAACACGATCCATCATTTAATTTCCATATAAACAAAAAGAAAAAGGCACAAAAAAAAAACTTTGTTCCACAGTTTGAACACAGAGCTATATGAATCTAGCCAAGTTGATCATGAGTTGAAGCACATCAATGCCACGATTGTTTTTTATCTCGAATTTTCTCGAGCTCGATCCTGAATCAATGTTACTCGGTCATACTGTAAATACACGAGTACTGGAAAGATCTTTAAGAGTGTTGTTTGAGTTTTTATTGCAATCCAAGCAGCTTAGTTCATGTTGAAATGTTTTCCCTTCGTGTGCGATTCTGACATTCAAAGTGTTCCCGTTCTGTTTTGTTTTATGCTTCAATTTTAATCCAAGGTTCAGAGTGTTTTGCTTTTGATGATGTTGATATGTGTTCATACGGATAAAAGAAAAATGTTATAAATTCTAGTTTATGTCAAATAAGAATATTAAAAGTCGAAGCAATATTGTAATTAGAGATGATCATGACTCGAGTTGGATAAGATTTTTAGTCCATCTAAACCTGATGCAAAGAAAAATATAAAATAAGTACTATAGTGAGTCATTAATTGTATAAAGATCAATTGTACTTTTATTTTGGAGTTGGACTGACTATTTTTTTCTCTAACCGAATCAATCATTTCTTTAAAAACCTCAGTCAGATCTGAATTCGGTTTTTTTTTTTTTAAAAAAAAATTATAGAATTAGATCAAATCAAAGTACATCACAATCAGATTAAATACTCAATCAGAACTTAAGTGGGTGGATATATGATAATGTTGGCTTATTCTTTAGAAGCATCATTCTCTACAAGTGCTGCAGTTGGAACCAACAACAATGGATTACATTTTTTTTTTAATTTGAACATCTTTCAGAATTTTACATAATCACTTCTTTCAGAATATTTCATCTCTAATCACGTTTGGGTAATATTTTCCCCTATCCAGTCAAAATATCATTAAATTATATTAAAATATTATTTTAGTAAAATTTTTAAAATTATAAAGTTATCATTAAATCTATCGAACTATTCATAAAATAATGAGTCCACATTATAAAATAATGATAAATTTTATAATTTTTAAAACTTTAATTGTTAAAAAGATTATTTGAATATAGTCTTCATTTATGTACTTTACCTTAATTTTTCTTTGTTGTAGCTGGATTCAATCAAATGTAATATGGGGCATGAGAGAGAGTGGTGATGAGAAATGGAAGACATGTAGGTGATACAAGATTATGCAATCATTTTGATTTTGACTGTGCAGATTACAAGCCATTGATGAACAATGGTTCAAGTTTCACCATATTATCAAAGAGCAATTTCAGTTTTTGAAGGTGAAGAAAAAGATGATCCAGTTACTGCATGAATCCCCTGAAAATGAAACAAGATTACAACACAAGAAAGCATTGCCTTCTCATTTCATGTTCCTTTTCAGCCTCTAGTTATTCATATGACTCATACATTAAGCTTAACACAAGTTTCTTACTGCAAAAACTCTCTTGGATCGGTGGCATAACCGGTCAAAGCCGATGCAGCGCAGTATAAGGAGAAGCAAGATATATCTGGCCTTCCTTGTGCCCCATCCGACCGGGGAAGTTCCTGTTTGTTGAGACACAAACCTGCAATGGCGATCCCATTAAATTTCTCAAAGGTGCGACTATATGTTCAATACGAGTATGCTCAACATTTTCAGTGTTTTTATATAATTGAAAGTTTAAACTCTCATTCGTATGTTCGAATATATGTTGAACATGGGTAGGTACTTCAGGGAAAATGAAATCGAAAACAAATCATATGTTCTTTAAGGTACACCGGGTGAAGAAAAAGATTACCTTGTGCGTATGTGTCTTTAGGGCCACCCAAACAAGTGCCGCAGCTAGGGCTAGCAGGTGTATCACAGCCAGCTTCTTCGGAAATCTGAGAGCATGTCTTCCCACCAGATCCGGGTATACAAGTCCAACCAAACCTGCCAGTTTTATAACGAGTTAATACACACATTCTTCTATCTTTACTTCCTTGATTCTAATCACAAATCGGATAATGTTTTAATTATTGAAGATATTGAGCAAACACCTTCTGTGTAGCTGGCACAAGAAATGTAGGAACTTTGACTTTCTTTCCCTGCAGATCAATCAAACTAAAGTTTCAGACACAGCTTAATATTCGCTATAGCTCCAGGGGTTAGGAATGAGAATGTACGACTCTTACCGAAGCTAAAAAGACTTTAGTAGCAGCAAGAAAATCTTCAGTTTTTCCACCAGTACAAGATCCTATAGAATATACTCTATCGATTAACATCTTTGCATTCTCTTGCCAATGCACAATTATCAGGAGAATGTGGCTACAAAATACATTTAAGAAATCATTCCAAGAGAGAAAAAAGAAGAAGAAATAAGTCCAATGTACAGACAGACGTGCACAAGAGAAGAAGGCAACGATGAAGATCGAATTAAAAGCAACTTTTATGAGATACCCACCTTAGCCACCAATGGCTCCAACTTTGAGATATCAAATCTGTACTCAGAAAGAAAACTGGAAGCAAGACCCAAAAGATGTAATCATATTAGGACTGTCTCAAGGCAGTTCCAAGCATAAAATGGTACAGTAAATATCACCCATGAAAGAACATAAAACATCCTATTGAACCAATTGAATAGTAGCAGACGCGGCCATCATAATAAGAAAACATTCTCTTCATCAACCATTTAATCACAAAAATATACCTTGCATGTGCATCATTGCAAACCGTTTCATATGACAGATGTTTTATTCTATGCAAAGCAAACAATAGTAACCCGTAAGCTAGGCATGAAAGCAGAGCAATAGACATTAAATGAAATCAACCTGGTTCGATGATTTTTGCCCTCACCTCAAGGTACTTAAATGTAGTACTATCAGCAGGAACAACTCCATTCTTTCCCCCGGCTTCAACAACCATATTGCACAACATTATCCGTTCTTCCATCTACCAAATACAAATAATCAGAATCAGGGTTTTAAATCGCGGTCGCGTTTTCGGTTATTTCGGATTTACCGTGATTGCGGCCGTCGCGGGCGCTATTGCGGTCGTCGCGGACGCTATTGCGGCCGTCGTGGGTAACTCGGACGGCGGCGAAACCACTATATCGCGGCCAATATCGCGGTCGCGGACCGTTTTTTGAAACCCTGATCAGAATACCAAATTCATGATTTCTGAATCAAACTAGGTCAAATGAATTTCTAAGGACCTAATGTTAAAAGTTGCAACATTTCAGGTTCACTTACATTTAGCCTTTCAACGGTGGTTCCAACAAACTCCATGGATTTATATGTTGCACCGGCTACAGATATTTCACCAACGATCTGCCCAACGGGAACCATTGTTAAAAAAACATATACGACCAACCATTATATAAAACAGTGATCAACATGAACAAGAGTAGAATCCCCACAGGAATATAATTAAGATTAAGAATTAAATCTTATCAAAAGGGAATAATTGCCTAAAAGTATATGATCTTACCTGCAAAATCAAATCCTTTGCGAGCAGATAAGGAAACATTTCACCATCCATCACAAAGCTTAAAGTTGGTGGAACCTGCAATTGAAAATGCAATCAAATACGTGTAAAAATTTACCACTAAATTAATCGTAATTTTGTAAGTAACAGACTTCAACTCATAAAAAACCTAAATGTCTGTTCAAAAGCAATAAATAATAATTAACAAACCTTGAGAAGAAGCTTCCCGGTGCCTAATACAAAGCCTGCATCTGTCTGTATTTCCAATTCCCCGTAGCAAAATGCTCCAGCAGTTCAGGTGTGAGAATCTGTCCCTAACAAAACCTGAAAGCAGATATAAAGAATATAACAGCAGCTCGAGAGCGGAACACGTGAATAGAAGTTTTACAATTCAATATTCACGGTAAAGAATTGATACCTCTCCTGGCCTGCAGTGACCCTCTTGGGCAAGTGCAACATGGCATACTCCTTTGTAATCGGGGTTTGCCTGCAATGTTGTGAATTAGGATTCAGCTCTATGTCAATAAACAGAGAATATACCTGTAGTTCCTCAGAATATTGGACCAGAAATGAATGACAAGATAAAGAGTGTCATACCTTAAAATTACCGAGATCTTTTATATCATAAAAATACTTGATATTTTTCTCCATGCAAAAATCCCTCAAAATATCCACTTTACGATTCGCACGTTCATCACTTGTGAATATGTAATGGTCGGGTATAATAACAACCTTTTCACAATCCCAAACCTTCAATACCAAAACGATGGTACACAGTTAATGAATTCAGCAACTGCAAATAGACAGCTGTGAACAGGAGTAAAGACACACACGAGGCCGAACTCTCTACAGTCTACCAAAGTAATAATTAGGCTATCAAGCTAAAGGAAACTTAAAGTATTTTGTTGGAAAAATGAAACATGAGAAACCACAAAAACCAGTTTCCCTAACAAAAAAAAGGTTTTCTTCTCCTTTCTCAGCAAGTCCCTCGAGGAACTTTCTTCCTCCTCCTGTACTTTGCTCTCAAAATGCCCTCCTTACACGGGTCCTATGCCACCATGGCAGGCGGCTCTAAGTCCAAATCAGAAAGGGTGAACCACCAACGACCACCAACGACCACCACCCCCATCCGTTGCACATCAAAAAAGCTTACAACAGTGATATAGCTATTGTTACTTGATGATTTTTTTAAGTCCATTTTATTCTAACAAACGTAAGCAAAAGCTCAATTATGCACAAGACTAACATGAGAGAAAAGAGAAGAATAAAACGAGTAAGATGGCATAAGAACAGAATACCGTTGCATTTTCACCAAATTCTTTCTTGAAGATACCAATGGAACCAGGACCACAAACATCATGTGTCATCAAAATATCAACATTAACCCAAACATTATCACCTGGACTCAACTGTGGTTTCTCAGAGGCTCTTGCAAGAATCTTCTCTGTCATTGTCATTCCAGTCTTAACCTGAGAAAAACAACCCAATTTTTTAACAACAACAAATCCATTATCAAATCAATAAAAAAAATTAAAAGGAACTAACAGAGCCAGTGGTGGCTGGTTTACGCTCAGATTGCTGGGGTGCCATGACCGAGAAGATTTTGTTCGAAACTTTTTTTTGCATTTCTGAATGGATATTTGAGGTGTAGAGGGAAAAGCAGAGAAGCCCAAATCTTTCTGGCCATTAAAAAAAGGGTG